TAAATACCAATGGTTGAGTTATTACGTTGGTTGTAGCTATAAATATCAATGGTTGTAGCTATAAATACCAATGGTTGTAGCTTTAAATACCAATGGTTGAGTTATTACGTTGGTTGTAGCTATAAATATCAATGGTTGTAGCTATAAATACCAATGGTTGTAACTATAAATACCAATGGTTGTAGCTATAAATTCCATTGATTATAACTATAAATACCAATGGTTGAGTTATTACGTTGGTTGTAGCTATAAATACCAATGGTTGAGGTATAAATGTCGTTGGTTGAGTTATGTCGTTGGTTGTAGCTGCCTACGACTTGGGAGGAGTGGTGACCAACAGTAGGAAGGATGGTGACATCATGAACAGGAACAAGCGATCAGGGACACTCAAGGAGATGCACTGGTGAGTTATATATAGGTTTATATATTTTATTTTTCAGCAATCTATGATCATGTGAATTTTTTGACATTCATTAATAAAAACTATACCACATTGAGATGCATGTTTGACTACTGTAGTTGTCTGATTGGTTGTCTACTGTTGGTGTAGTTGTATGGTTAAATTTTCTGACACTATTTCTAAACTACTTGACAGTTGAGCGAGCCAGCAATCTTTGTCTACAGATGAGATGTTTTGTCTATTGTAGTCTACACCCTGGAGATGTGTACCCCTACTGTCGTAAACCTATGTTCCTCATTATAGATAGTGACAACAGCTCGGCATTCCAGGTAAGTCACAGCACTAGCATGTGTAGATCAACAGTACAGGTACATCTGTCTGTTGTGCGAAGAGCACACAGACATAGAACTAAGAAGAGCCTGGCTCAGACTGCATCATTTGTATATTTAGGGCAAATGAAGATTTTCAATTCCTGAAACACTATACTAGGATATGTAGTGCATGGTTTATGATACACCTTAAGCACCTGTCGAGGAAACTAAGGGTGCAGGTATACGTATATGTTGTAACTATGTTTTATGATATTAAGGTAATAGGATTGTGTCGCCATTTCTCAGTAGAATTTCTTCAAATTTTGTAGTTATATTGCTTTGAAGTAAAGAACATTTTCTGCCACCAAAAAAGATAGGTTGTCATAATTTTAAGGAATTTAAATGGAAATTTATGTAAAAAGGAGTGACTTTTGAAAAAAAAAATAAAGACAATTTTTTACAAAATAATGTCAATCAAAATGATACTGCCAGTATTGCATTAAATGTATATCAATTTAATAAATGCTGAAATTTTGTCAAATAAATTATCTATAAACGATTAAAATCGACATTTTATAATAAAACCATATGCACATTGTAATTGCAGGTAAGAGTTATCTTTCTTGAAAAACTTTACATGGATACATGTGGCTCATTGATAAAAAAACCACCTGAATTAATGCCTGCATTGCTTTGAAATACTTTAATATTGAGAGAAAACACTGTTCTGTCAATAATAAACATCACAGTATTCATCAGTTTAATATTAAACATTAGAATATGTGGAAATTGTGATACTGTCTCCCTACATTGGATTTTCAACTAGGGATGTACTTCCTACTTCCGTTTATCAATACACTCCTATGACCTTGAGGTTACATGACTGATGTATTCCTACAGGCCACATCAAAGATAATGATTAATATAAGATATAACTTAATATGGTATCTGGTACACTGGTACAGCATGTGTTGGTTATAACAAGCTCACTGTTATTTTCAATAAGATTCATCAGTTTGGAAATATGTGATATCAAAGTTTAACTTTTTACACAAACTATTTACGTATTAAACTGAGTGGACTCAGTCATAGCTCACCAAATGGACCAGTCGGTCTTGAAACGTTGCGACACGTTTAATACATAGATTGTTTGTGTAAAAAGTAAAACTTTGATATCAAGGTCACTGTTATGTTATTGATTTTATATTTCCTTATCAAACAAGAAGAGAGTTGACTTAACCTACAATGTTGAAGATAAAATCCTGAAAACAAATCTTGGAAACTGTGTTTAGGATTGTGTAAACAAAGTAAACCCTGTAACGATGAGATTGACTGTTTATTACAGAACTTCCCTAACTTGTTTGGCCAGCCCGTGGTATGTCTGCTGTCTCAGGAACAGGTACCAACTACAATGCAGGGTAGGTACAACAGTCTCACAGACAACTGACAAAAATAGTCTCACAAACAACTGACACAAATAGTGACACACAGACCTCTGCAAATAGTCTTACTCAGACAAATGCCTCAAATAGTCTAACAGACAACTGACACTAATGGTCTTACAGACAACTGACGAAAAATGGTCTCAGACAACTGACACAAATGGTCTCACAGACAACTGACAAAAATAGTCTCACAAACAACTGACACAAATAGTGACACGCAGACCTCTGCAAATAGTCTTACTCAGACAAATGCCTCAAATAGTCTTAACAAACAACTGACACAAACAGGTTCACAAACAATTGCCTCAAACAGTCTCGCAGATAATCGCCTTGAATAGTCTCAGACAACTGACACAAATGGTCTCACAGACAACTGACACTAATGGTCTTACAGACAACTGACGAAAAATGGTCTCAGACAACTGACACAAATGGTCTCACAGACAACTGACACACAAAGTCTCGCAGACAACCTCCTCAAAGAGTTTAGCAGACAACCTCCTCAAAGAGTTTAGCAGACAACCTCCTCAAAGAGTTTAGCAGACCACCTCCTCAAAGGGTTTAGCAGACAACCTCCTCAAGGAGTTTAGCAGAGTTTAGCAGACAGCCTACATACCGTCTGACAATTGCCACGGGTAGTCATATAGCTATAGACAGCCCCTATAAAAAGTATCGCAGTCAATCGCAAACACAACATCAGTACACTTAAAGATGATTTGTTAAACTCCCTCAGAAGTATAACTATACATGTTTTGTTACAGACCATCAGAAGTATAACTGTACATATTTTGTTACAGATCATCAGAAGTATAACTACACATATTTTGTTACTGTCAGATTATATAGCTGTACATATTCTGTTACAGACCATCAGAAGGGTAACCTGTTCACACTGTTTCTGCACTCACCACTGATGGCCTTCTGTTACGTGTGTAATTTAAACGACATTCCCATCACAAAGTGGGAGAAGTGTCAAGGTCAAATTGACAAGTTCATGGCTGAGGCATCAAAACTCTTTCTGAGGTCAAGGTCACTTGGTAAGTATTGAAGCTTCATTGTAAACTTGATACTTCATATATCATGTCTGAGGCATCAAAACTCTGTCTGAGGTCAAGGTCACTTGGTAAGTATTGAAGCTTCATTGTAAACTTGATACTTCATAACTGCAAAGTTAATCCTTGCCAATCAAACCTACTTTGTGTTACAGATCACTCGTACCTGCAGTTTATAGGGGATGACTTCCTGCGGTTGTTAATGTTATTCCTTGCCAGTTATATAACCAAACCTACTTTGTGTGTTACAGATCACTCGTACCTGCAGTTTATAGGGGATGACTTCCTGCGGTTGTTAATGTTATTCCTTGCCAGTTATATAACCAAACCTACTTTGTGTGTTACAGATCACTCGTACCTGCAGTTTATAGGGGATGACTTCCTGCGGTTGTTAATGTTATTCCTTGCCAGTTATATAACCAAACCTACTTTGTGTGTTACAGATCACTCGTACCTGCAGTTTATAGGGGATGACTTCCTGCGGTTGTTAATGTTATTCCTTGCCAGTTATATAACCAAACCTACTTTGTGTGTTTCAGATCACTCGTACCTGCAGTTTATAGGGGATGACTTCCTGCGGTTGTTAATGTTCCGGTTTGTGTTCTGTTATATTGTACTCATACTCCACCGAGGATTCAAGGTGAGTGTCTATCTTAACAACATCTGGAAAGTCTGTGTTCAAGGCATTAACTGTTAGGTCCCTTATTTCAATACAAGATTTTCCCACATTTTGAGTGTATTCCACATTAGATGTCTTCTAATGATTTCAATAAAAAAAAAATAACACGACTACTTTATACTGGGAAATTTTCAATGCAGTTTGGGTGAAAATTTCCTGGTAGACAGTATGTAGTCCTCTGGAAAAGTTACAGCAACTAAAACTAGTCCAGTCTGCTGTAAAACTGGTCCAGTCTGCTGTAAAACTGGGCAGTCTGCTGTAAAACTGATCCTGGTATGTTGTTCTATAGTAAAACTGTAAAGGTGTTTATGATCGAGGACACCCTCCCCAACTCATCGTGGTTTGATTTATTGTAGTTATTAAACGTACCTGCTCAGATGACATTATCATTATCAATATAGATTGTAATTATTTATACAGACAGACCTGTACACTAATCTGTATGTATACTGCATTGCTCTGCCTCAGGGCCCCAGCTACTTCCCGATGTCTCACCCACCCCTGCCTACAGAGGAGATTCTGGAGCATCCTAACCTCTACAAGGTCGTTCTGGACCTGGCCACTGTCCTCAACTCACGCATGCAGTTTGCGGAACCAGGAGAAGGAGATATACATGCGACGTAGGTGGCGCAGCTCCTAGGCAAACCAATTTTATTATTTTTAATTAATTATAAAAATTTCAATGCTCACCTGATTACTATCTGACTGTGTAAATATCTACTATACTCCTACGGCGAGGATACCTAAGACATTCCTAGCCATGAAATGGTTATCCAGTCATTCCGGAGTGTTCCAGATCACCCGTCAGTCTAATGCCTGCATACTAGACTGTACATCAACAATATACAGAGCCTCCTCTAGCTACTGACAGGGCTTTACAAGCCTAGAAAAGCCCAAGTGTTTGGCTAGTACATAGATGGGTTATTTTGTTGAGACAGATTAGCATGACAATGTTGGATGAATCAGCCCGTCAGAACTGAACTTACGCTGCCTAAGGATTGTAGTTAACCCTGTGTTTCCCAGGACCACAGGACTGTATTGTGTGTGTGTGGATTGGCTATGTTAACCTTCCACACACAAAGTGATGACATCATTATTACACCAACATTATGTGATGACATCATTAGAAATTGTATCTTTCCCTTCTCCATTAATTATTTTATGAAAATACATTTATCAATATGTATCTTCTTTCATGTTTGCCATTAACTTACATGTACATTAAATAGCACATATAATTGTTAGGTCGTTTAAACTTGATTGATATTTTAATTCTGCTATTTGAAAATAAGCAATTTTAATCCTATAATATGCTATGATATTTTTGGTGGATAGACTGTACATATGGGTGCCTGCTGTTTACTGTAATAATATTGATATCTATCTTTAAAAAACCCACCTGTACCATGCCACCAACTACTACTCAACCAACAACAAAGTCTTACGCAGATAAAACAACAACAAAGTGTTATACTGTACAGATAAACAACAACAAAGTGTTATCCTGTACAGATAAAACAACAACTAAGTGTTATACTGTGCAGATAAAACAACAACAAAGTCTTGCACAGATAAAACAACAACAAAGCACTATAATGTACAGATAAAATAACATCAAAGTCTTATCCTGTACAGATAAAACAACAACTAAGTGTTATACTGTACAGATCAACAACAACAAAGTGTTATTCTGTACAGATAAACAACAACAAAGTTTTATACTGTACAGATAAACGACAACAAAGTGTTATACTGTACAGATAAAACAACAACAAAGTCTTACACAGATAAAACAACAACAAAGTGTTATACTGTACAGATAAAATAACATCAAAGTCTTATACTGTACAGATAAAACAACAAGAAAGTGTTATACTGTACAGATAAAACAACATCAAAGTCTTATACTGTACAGATAAAACAACAACAAAATCTTACACAGATAAAACAACAAGAAAGTCTTACACAGATAAAACAACAAAGTGTTATACTGTACAGATAAAACAACATCAAAGTCTTATACTGTACAGATAAAACAACAACAAAGTGTTATACTGTACAGATAAACAACAACAAAGTGTTATACTGTACAGATAAAACAACAACAAAGTCTTACACAGATAAAACAACAACAAAGTGTTATACTGTACAGATAAACAACAACAAAGTGGTATACTGTACAGATAAACAACAACAAAGTGTTATACTGTACAGATAAAATAACATCAAAGTCTTATACTGTACAGATAAAACAACAAGAAAGTGTTATACTGTACAGATAAAACAACAACACAGTGTTATACTGTACAGATAAAACAACATCAAAGTCGTATACTGTACAGATAAAACAACATCAAAGTCTTATTCTGTACAGATAAAACAACAACAAAGTGTTATACTGTACAGGTAAAACAACAACAAAGTGTTATACTGTACAGATAAAACAACAACACAGTGTTATACTGTACAGATAAAACAACATCAAAGTCTTATAACAACAACAACCAAGATACAATTCAGACATCAACAGACCGACAATAAACCTGGGAGTCTGTCACTCCTACTGGTGTTGTAGGTGTGAGTTGTCACTCCTACTGGTGTTGTAGGTGTGAGTTTAGTTGTTGATCCTTTGTGATATTCTGTGTGCTGTTTGCTGTGAGTGTTGATTGTGTGACACTCTAGTCCTGATCACATTCTCTGTTGCGTCTCAGTTGCGTCCCTGATATGCGACCTGATTATTTGTATGTATGACGTCACCGATGAAGCCAGGAGATCTAGTACCTGTAGCTTAACTTCCTCACGCACATTTTTATATCAATAATATTTACCGGTAGTTGTTGTTTTTGTAGGAAAAAACCACGGCTTCAGAATAATTGAACATGTTTGATCTTGGTAGTAGATCAGTAATATGCTTTTGGTATTGATGTGCATTTGCCAACCATGTGGTACATTTTACTTGGTACCTACATGACATCACAGCTGACCACATTGTACATTTTTTACTTCCCTGCATGTTATCACAGCTAGTTATATGTGGCTATTTTATTTTGAAAATTGTCAATACTATTAAAGTGCTCTGATTTATGTATGCAGTAAGATGGAGGGAAACCTGGCAATCGAAAAAACTAAGCCTGTATTATACTGATTGTTAATAGTGTAACTACAGTACACTGTACAAGGTGACAGTTTGGGGAGGACTGCATATGAAAGGTGACAGATTACATGTACCACTTGACTAAACTACACGTACAGTTCTAGTAATGCACAACTTTTTCATGGGAAAGACTCAGATGTGTCGCTTGTTATCATGAAATTGGACCTAAAACTTGGCCTTATTGATTTCTGAGAAAATCCAACATAAAAAATTTCTAGCAGAAATTAGTCATATTGGTCATCAGTGCACATTGTTCTGTACTTGAGATCAGTATTTATACATTATTGTATATCGTGTGATACATAAATTCAGTACATGTATTTATGCATTCACATACATTGTATAAACTGGAATTCAGTATTTATACATTTAATGTATGTTAAGCCCACTGTATACGGTGAAATCTTGCGTTGCTACAGATACCACGGACTAACCTTCTTCATTTGGTTTCTCCATTTTTTAGTCGTCAAATATTCAAACGATTTTCACAGTCATTTTACTTTTAAACACCAAGATGCCTTGGAAAAAGTGTGAAAATTAGGGTCGAATGAAACTTGAAAATATTTCCCCATTTCTTCCTTGTGTTGTCATTGTTGCTGTTTTGCCAGGGCTGCACAATTTCACTAGTCAGACGTCAAGCCCATCTTGGATAACAGGCTGCAGTGAATTATGTATGAATTGTGGTATCGTGGGGTGACTTGGGGAGTGTAATAAAATCATGTAAAAGTTGTTTTCTTGGATAACTCAAGTGTAATATAAATTTGTGAATAATCGTTAAAATCAGTTGATTTTTTTTGTTTCTGATATTAAATATTGAGAAACCAAATGATGGAGTTTGATAGGTTTTGTCTGTGAGGTTGAAGCTAAGCGTTTCAGAGCATTTCTGTAATTTGTATGCGGTGTACTCTTCTGTTGACTGTATGAAATAGTACTGTTATGGAGAAATATCTACTTATCTTTGAAAGTTAACTTTTGATTTTTAGTGATGACTTTTTTATCATGTTAAGTAAAACTTTCTTATAGTGCCACAATTTGTCCAGGTGTACTAAGCTATACTATACAACCTCAGACTACAAAAACTAGCATTACTAGTAATGGTAAGGGTCTTGCTACAGAGTACAGTAGTATCCCCTACTCTTTTCTTAAAGTTAAGTTATCTTAATTGATATATGTATGATCATATGAACATGAAATCAGTTCTGAACCTGTGTAACATGAACCTCTGTTCTGAACCTGTGTAACATGAAATCTGTTCTGAACCGTGTAACATGAAATCTGTTCTGAACCGTGTAACATGAACCTCTGTTCTGAACCTGTGTAACATGAACCTCTGTTCTGAACCTGTGTAATATGAAATCCATTCTGAACCTGTGTAACATGAAATCTATTCTGAACCTGTGTAACATGAAATCCATTCTGAATCTGTGTAATATGAAATCAGTTCTGAACCTGTTTAACTTGTAAATGTGTTTTTAACCTGTATTACATGAAATCAGTTCTGAACCTGTGTAACATGAACCTCTGTTCTGAACCTGTGTAATATGAAATCTATTCTGAACCTGTGTAACATGAAATCAGTTCTGGCCCTGTGTAACATAAAATCAGTTCTGAACCTGTGTAACATGAAATCCATTCTGAACCTGTGTAATATGAAATCCATTCTGAACCTGTGTAATATGAAACCTGTTCTGAACCTGTGTAACATGAAATCCAGTCTGAAACTGTGTAACATGAAATCCATTCTGAACCGTGTAACATGAACTCTGTTCTGAATGTAACCTGAAATCATGTCTGTTCTGAACCTGTTTAACATGTAAATAGGTTTTTAACTTGTATTACATGAAATCAGTTCTGAACCTGTGTAACATGAACCTCTTTTCTGAACCTGTGTAACATGAAATTTGTTTAGAATCTGTTTTACTTGTAAACTTATACCGAAGCTGTGTAAAAGAAAACCTGCCTGACGGCATGTGTAACATAATATATTGAAGACATCCTTTTGTTGTGCTTATCAACCAGTTGTCTTTTTGTTATGTTGATAACAATATTTGCCTCTCAGGTTCGGAAGGTGTTATTGAGTGACCTTTTATCCCATGTGTAGTTTTAAACCTCCTGTATCTCTGTCACCCAATGGTAGAGATGCCTTGCCTAATAGACCTGGCACCTGTAGATGTTTTCAGCCAGGTTATATCTCAATCAAGTGTGAAATAAATACTTGCTGCATTCATTTGACAGTCTTCTATTTCTATGATTGGCAAAATCATTCAGGCCACTTTGTTGGCCAAAACGTGTGTAAGACTTTTTTGCATAATGAAAGAGTTTGTTAATTTCTTCAGAATAACATTTAAGCTTTTTCAATTTTGATGTATTTTTAACTGATTTGTATTACTGTACATCAGGGGAAACAACTTCACCATATATTTCATTTTACCACAGATATACCAGGTAACATTTTCACCAATAAAGTAAATTAAAAGAAAAACTGTACATAAACATAAACTGTCAGCGTACAAAATATTGTGGTGTTAGGGTTTTTGTTTATTTGGAAGTATAGGCCTAAAAAGGTATGCTAGATAGTCACTGCATCACTGGGCACCTGTCCAATCTCCTGTAGCATACCAAAAGTAGCTTCTGTGTCATACCTATAGTAGACAACACACCCTTTTGTGTCTTACCTATACATAATAGATTACATACCCTTCTGTGTCCTACCTATAGTAGATTACATACCCTTCTGTGTCCTACCTATAGTAGATTACACACCCTTCTGTGTCTTACCTATAGTAGATTACACACCCTTCTGTGTTGTACCTATAGTAGATTACACTCCCTTCTGTGTCGTACCTATAGTAGATTACACACCCTTCTGTGTCGTACCTATAGTAGATTACACCCCCTTCTGTGTTGTACCTATAGTAGATTACACCCCCTTCTGTGTTGTACCTATAGTAGATTACACACCCTTCTGTGACGTACCTATAGTAGATTACACACCCTTCTGTGGCCTACCTATAGTAGATTACACACCCTTCTGTGGCCTACCTATAGTAGATTACATACCCTTCTGTGTCCTACCTATAGTAGCATTCTGTGGTGTTTATATAGTAAGTAAGCCTCATGTCCAGGATGTATAAGTCACTATTATTGTTGTGATGTTTTGTTATGTATACATTCCATCCACCTTTTTGACAGTACAATGTGCTTACACATGATAATGTATACTTGCCAGTGTGGGATTATGTAAAGTCCACTTGTACATACAATGTACATACTTTCATTAACAAAAGTAACTAGTTGTTTATCTGCTTGAATTACCTTTATTGGAAGTGTTAATATTTTTCTTTATTCCATCCATCATGTAT